AAACAACAGGGTTCTATTATACAGATCAGGACGGCCTGGAACTCAGAGATCCACCTGTCTTTGCTTCCTGAATGCTGGGATTAAAAAGGGTGCAACCTCATGCCTGGCCTGCGTTTAGCTTTTGAAGTCTTTGTTTGTTTGGTTTGTTTTTCGAGACAAGATTTCTCTGTGTAACAGAGCCCTGGCTGTCCTGGAACTCACTTTGTAAACTAGACTGGCCTCGAACTTCCAGAGATCCACCTGCCTCTCTGCCTGGGATTAAAGGCTTGTGCTACCTACCACACCTAGCTTGAAGTCCACATTTTGATAGGGAACAGCATATTACAATTTCAGTTCATGAAAACAGACATTGAGTCTGAGATGGGAAGAGTTAGAAGCCAGCCTGGACTGTAGGGTGGGTGAGACCCTATGGCAAACAAAACAAGACCAAACAATCAAAACCCAGAGTAACAGGATCAACCTTTGAGATTCGGAGGGCCCTGTGAGGCAGCCAGGCACTGCAATGGGAAAGGTCTGCGGGCAGAGGGAAGAACAGGTACAGAGGGAGAGAGAATGTTGATGTGTTTGGTAATAACAAGGACATCAGCCGGGTGGTGGTGGTGGTGGCGGCGGCGGCGGCGGCGGCGGCGGCGGCGGCGGCGGCAGCGCATGCCTTTAATCCCAGCACTCGGGAGGCAGAGGCAGGTGGATCTCTGTGAGTTCGAGGCCAGCCTGGTCTACAAAGTGAGTTCCAGGAAAGGCGCAAAGCTACACAGAGAAACTCTGTTTCGAAAAACCAAAAATAAACAAAAACAAAAAACAAAAAACCAAGGACATCTTCCTCATTTTCCTTCCAGATATTCCCTGTCTCTCCCTAGCTTCAGTCCAAGGAAGAGAAAGCCACATCAAGGAGCTGGTCTAGTTAGGACTGGTGGCCCACAGCTTTAATCCCAGCACTCAGGAGGCAGAGGCAGGCAGATCTCTGAGTTCGAGGCCAGCCTGGGCTACAGAGTGAGTTCCAGGACAGCCAGGGCCACACAGTGAGAACCTGTGTGAATCAAGCAGACAGCGGCCAACTAGCTCGGTCCTCCATCTTCTCCCTGTTGTTTCCTATGTGTGAGGACCAGTTCTCCTCAAGGACTTTCTAAACCCTGGGAGGACAGGATGACGTTTTGAGCTTTTGGGAGCCCGAGACACAACATCCTGAGCAGGAAGCTGAATATGGTGACGAGAGTTTATAATCCCAGCACTTGGCAGGTGGAGGAGCAGGAGACTTGTGAGTTTGAGGCCAGTGTGACCTATGAAGTGAGACCCTGTCTCAAATAAGCAACAAAACAAAATAAAGGCGAAATGAAAAGAGCCACATCTCGAGTGGGCAAGCGGAGCAGAACTGAAGGAAGCCAGGAGAAGCTGCTCTCCCCAACAGCATAAGATGAAGGGCATCCTGGAGGCTGAGCGCAGAGGCAGAGGCGCAGGCTTTGCCATCCTTTGCAGCTTAC